TCTACAATTGCACTGCTACATGGGTGCAGGTTGCTCTTGACCATCGTGTGGCCCTGCTTCACCTAGGGCCAGCAAGGGTCCAGGCTAAGTATTCAAATAAACAAGAAATGTAACTATTGGTATCAACTGCAGTCCATCGCTTTCAAATGTTTTTGGTATTTCTTAAAGTCAATCTCTAAAAAAATATATTACATCTCACATGTAGCAAACATACTACGGCCGCCAAGTTCACTATTTTCATGATACTGTTTGGATAACATTATAAAATCAAACACAGATTAATTACCTCAAATTTATTCGAAAAACCCAAAATTTTACCTTCAGATGTAGAAAATTACTGTAATTAATTGTGAGAGGCAGGAAGTATGTTTTAACCATATAATTATTTTCTTTCAAAACTCACCTTTTTTTTTTTGTTTTTGGAGCAGGGACCTGACCACTCTCAGTCTCCCAATTTGTCTCTGTCTCAGTTGTGGTCTCTGTAATACCTTTTGCACTATCTTCGGTGTCTCCATTCGAAATTACTGAGTTGCTTGTATCGGTGTAACAGCGCACCTTAGCTATGTGCGCTTGTATGGAATCTGGAATAGGGGAAGGGGGTATATTACAAAAAAACTATAAGTAATAAAGTGAACCCGAGTGGCTAAACTCACTTATTCTTGTGACAACTACAGTCCAACTAGCAGTGATGCACAAAGGCGGCTGCCACACCCTGATCAGGGGCATGAACAACTTCCCATAAATTTTCCACCTTTAGGAATCCTATGAGATCTTCAAATAGCTCCTAGCCTGTCTCTACTATATACACCAAGTGGTTTGATCCAGTAGGATGAGCGTAGGAATGCTGGCTTATTGAAGAATAGCTGCACAGGACATGTTGTCTCTATGGCGGTCTTGTAGGATTGATAACAGATGCCTGATGGCATACACAGAGTCACCACAGGACATGTTGTCGACTCCCATCACTACATCTGCCACTGATGTCCGTTGGATACCTGCAGGCACCTTGAAATAGTCTTTTCCACAAAATCGTGAGCATGCGCAGTTCGCGCCATTTTGTGCGGGACTGTTTCTCAGGGGGAAAGAGTAGATGGGCGGCTGTCATGATGTAAAGTAGATCTCCCGCTCTTTGCATTTATCGGTCATGGGTGGCCACGACAACTGCTGTGTGTATAACTGCAGCCACTGGAGAGGTAGAAAAGGCAATGTTTGTAGTTTTTTTGTATTTCCAAAGGACAGACGTTCGAAATTGCTATGGATTATTGCCACTGGTCGTGCGGACATTTCATTGAAAGATATAACTGAAAACTTCAAAGTCTGTGGCTGTCACTTCCAATCCGGAAAGCCAAACAGGAAAGATAGTAAGTCTATTGATGCAGTACCATCAGTTGATTTACCACGCAAAACGGTTAAAGCTAGGCGAACTTCAAACAGTATTTCAAGTGCGACATGGGCCGAAGCGGTGGAGAGTGGGACTAGAAAAGCCATCGTGGTAGGAAACTGTGTCCCAGACGTGGGCCAAGAAGTTGTATTTCCCCTTGTCCAGAACTCAGATGTAAGTATCAATGAATTCAATATCGTTGACTATATGTTTATACATTTTTTATGACAGTGTGTATGATGACATCTGTTAAAGTGACTGTTTTTTCTTTAAGCAGGTAGGTAGTGTGGAATATACAAGGAGGTGGTTTTATTCTATTTGTAGATGATTAAGACGATTGGCTACAGCTAGTACCCCAGTGCAGGTGGGCAAACAATCGACTTGCTCACACCAACACTTGTAATTACTATCTATCACACTAATTATGCCAGGTGGATGAGGTAAGATCATCCTGTAACCTGACTTTCTTTTATTGCACTAATAATTGGAATCCTAGGTGTGACATCATCTTGTAACAAACAACAGATTACTTTGTCACTTCAAAAGTATACCTGCACAGGTAGATAGGAGTAGTCAGCGAACTGTTTATAGCTTTCAAATACTATGACTATTCAATATGATTGTTTACTACCCCAGTTTTGAACATGCCTTGTTGATATGTTTACTTATATTACCATTTATTTCTTCAAGGTTACCTTTGAAGTACCTCTTGATACTTGTGAAGAGGAGGAAGAGATTCAGGGTAGTGACCACTCTTATGCCAAAAGACAATGTTTTAGAACTAGCATGACTGAGGACAGTAGCTGCCAGACAGAATTCAGCAGAGATAAAGAGGCTGCGGCGGATAGTGATAAAGAAAAAGCAGAGCTGATACTAAGACTGGAAAAAAGTCAGAAACATATTGAATTATTAGAACAGCGCATTGCTTTGAGCCAGCCAAAAATTTGTGCACAAGACATCCTCAATGAATCAAGCGTTCAATTTTGGACTGGTCTTCCCAGTGTGGCAGTATTTAATGCCCTTTTCACCTACCTGGAGCCTAAAGCTAAGCATCTGAATATCACTGGTCGGGGCACAGGAAAGTATCAGTCAGCTTGGAAACTTGATTTGATTGATGAGTTTTTTGCAGTTCTTGTCAGGTTAAAGGTTGGCTTGTTTGTTAGGGATATATCCCAAAGATTGTGTATTTCTGAAGGTTTTTTTTCCAAAATTTTTGATGTCTGGATTAGATTTTTAAGAAAAGAACTGGAGGCAATTACAAGATTTCCTAGTGTTGAAGAGGTCAGACCACACCTGCCTGCCTGTTTTTCAGATTACCCTGATACCAGAGTTGTCATCGATTGCACAGAAGTGTATGTTCAGAAACCCTCATCACTTAAATCTCAGAGGGAATTGTGGTCCAATTACAAACACCACAACACATACAAGGGCCTCGTTGGAATATCCCCTGATGGTACTTTGTCATATGTGTCAGATCTGTATGGTGGTTCGGCATCGGATAAGTTTATCACAAAGGACTGTGGGATTCTTGAGCTACTCCAGGAGGGAGACAATGTCATGGCGGACAGAGGTTTTGACATATCAGACCTTTTGGTGGGAAAAGGTGTAACTCTAAACATTCCTCCTTTCATAAACAGAAATGAAACCCAACTGTCAGCCCAACAGGTAGAGGAAACGCGTAGAATTGCCTCTGTGAGAATTCATGTTGAAAGGGCCATTCAGAGAATCAAGACATTTCATATTCTTGACGGAGTGGTGCCCTTATCACTGCACAGCTTGATTTCAGACATTTTTAAAGTGTGTGCTTATTTAACTAACTTCCAAACACCAATATTGTAACAGTTGGTGTCATTTAGGGGTTATTAATGTGCCTAAACTTTCATGAAAATTTAGTTTATGAGTGACTTTCAAAAGGCTTCACCATTATTATTATTATTGATAATCATACTTAAATATCCAATGCCTTGAGAATGTCATAAAACAATGCGGTGTAAAGAATGGCGACTTAATCAGCCAAATTTCAAACATTTTTTCAGTTTCTCCTTAGTGCACATCTTTGTCAGTTCAGATGGCTGTGATAATTATATTGAAGAAGCTAAGCACAGCAAATTTACTTTCTTTCATCGGTTTATTTAGAAAAGTAAAACTGTGTACAAAAATATTATCACAAAGATATTTGATTTGTTCTCTGCCAAGTTGTTGTATGTCCAAGTTTGCAAATAAATTACTGTACTAGTAAATGCACTAGCATTGTGCCATCTTCCAATTAAAATTAAGATAAAAAAGCTGCATGTTAACACCTTAGTAAAATTAAGCCAAACAACATGGGAAATGTTAATTTAAAGCACCATCATCTGAGACCAAGTTATAATTAAAAACATTATCACAATGTAATTAAATATCCATTGCACTGCTAAATACATAAAATATATACAAATTGCACTTGAATCCTACATCAACTGATCAATAACATAAAAATCAAGTCTAAGAAGAAAGTTCACTCCTGAGAACCATTTCCATTCTACTGTACTCCAGTAAAACCTATATAATAGCACCATCTGATACAACCATATTTTTAAACCTTAACTTCATCACAGTGTTATTTAATATCTATATCAATGTTAAATACACAAAAAAAAGTATTTTTCAAAAAAGGACTATTACCATGCAAGGCTTATTGTAACAGCATGAAAATAAAACACTAGATTTTCACAACCCAAGATCACAATTTGCTGCTAAATAACATTGCACATATTCTCAGTTTGGTATTGAATGCATATGTATAGAATAAAACTTGAATTCAGTTTTTATTTTCAGCATTACAATTGCAACACTGGGTATCCGTGTTTTATAGTAGGGTACACCAACTCTGGCAAAATGAATGTCTTGTAAAAACTGGTCAGTTTAGGAACCACAGATGCCCAATAAACAGCATCAAACAGAACAGATTCAATGAAGAGATCCTTCTCTGTGCACAAAACAAAATCACACACATGAATGTTGTACACAGCCATTTGACCCTGGACTTGAGTGAAGTAGCTATGTTTGGGATTCAAATATGGCCTGTTGTTTTCATCTAGCTTTAAACATGGCAGTTTCATAGCAGCATCTACCATACTGTCACCCCAGGTTGAGGAAGGTGTCTTCACTTCAACTAGTACCCTTCCTCTCTGGGAGTCACTGGCAATCCCATCTGCAGAAGCACCAAGGTGGGGATGAGCTGCAGATATACGGAACCCACACTTGTCAATTTGTATGTCATCCAGTCCCTTGCGTTTCATCTTTTCAGCATATCTGGCCAATGCCCTTTCTTCATATTCCAGCCCAAAACGCATGGCTCTCGTTGAAACACTTGTAAAGCCAAGCAGCTTCTTCATAAGTGGAGTTGGGTCTGTTGCTTCCCGACGGTTTACAACTGAGTGAAAATTGGAAGCGGTGATACGAATATGTCTCTCTTTATGCCACTTTCCTGATTGTGACTGTCTTAAAGTTTGTTGTTCAATAGCATTTATCTCCTCTGCAGTATTTGGCAGTGACGTAAAAAAAGTGACACATGCTTCCTTGATATCTGTCTTGCTGGGGGGTAAAGCTTGGAATAAAGATGTAGATTCTTGGTTGCAATCAGGTTCTCTCTGGGCTGGCACAGCATATTTGGAAAAGCCACACTTTGGTACCAGTTTCATCATTGTTGTGTGTAAAGTAGACAGGGCAGTGGCATTCACCTCACGGTCCTCCAAATGTCGAGGGTCAGGCTTCCCTTCCTTCATTTCTTTCTTCTTTCCTAACTCTGGCCTGCAATAAATTTATATATATATATATATATATATATATATATATATATATATATATATATATATATATATATATATTGCATAACATGTCCAACATGTGGTTTTTGAGAAATACATTCAATAAAATGGAACATCCTGAGCTGAAAGACTCTTAGTGATTAAGATAATATAATTATCTCAGACAAACAACCAATTATAGTTGAACATAATTATTAAAACAATGTGAGATTTAAAAAAATTAAGTTAAGTCAGCTTCAATAGGAACATTTTTTTACCTGTATATGTTTATTTTGTCAATGGTACCATACTGAACCGCCCGTTTTGCTGGGACATTCCACTGTTTCAGCTTCTCAGTGCAGGTAAGTTGGTCCGGGGTCTCCTGTAGACCTTGTGCAACAAAATCCTCTATTGCAAACAAAAGGACTGCCACATGGCTACATGCTTCACCTTTCCTGAAAATTAATAACAAACCTTAATTTATGGCAAATAATTGAAATATATATATTCTGTAATTCAAAGCAATTTATTTGTAGCTACATATGTATGAAAGTATGTATATACAACAACACTGACAACTTTTACCAGGTCAATAATGTTATAAAATATGAATGAATTATAAAAAATTATGATACTCAGTATTTATAAAGTTGATTAAAATTATAACTGAAAGCAGCTATTATCATATCTGATACAACAAACACAGATTCTATATGACAAAAATGGTAGGACAATTAATTCAAATTATTTCAAATTTAGAGATGACACATGTAGTTGATCAAACATATCATTCAAAATTGCTGTGTAGATCAGAGCAATAGATAATATACTTAGTAATTGACATGCCAGTGCCAATTAAACTTAAGTGTAGATCATAGCACTTGATAATATAGTCATTAGTTGAACTGTCAGTGCCAAACTTCAGGTGTAGATCATAGCACATGATAATAAACTTGAAGTAATTGACATGTCAAGACCAAACTTCAGGTCAGCAGCCCATTAATTCTTTGTTGTCACATTATCTGCTCTCACATGCCAAATTTAGAATTTTGTGATTTACCTCTACGGGAATAAAAGAAACAGTGTCCTGAATCTAAATAAAAAAATACACTATACTGTGTGTGCATGTACTGTTCATCATTTTCATTGCTGTTAACGATCTAAAAACCAAGTTTACTTGCTAGGAACAGCAATTCCATAATCTTGAAACATTCTTCGTTAATTCTAAACATGTTATAAACTTACATTTAGTCAATATCTAAATAAGATTGCGTTGATGTTAAATAACAAAGTGCAAAGACTCACCCTGCTACGCAATTGCATGTTCCTCCAAGGACCTTGCCGTTGACATCCAGGCATACGGCGACATCGTAGACAAGACGTTTCATGGATGCCATGACCTTACATTTTGCCATAAATAATTTTTCTGATGATACAGACTGGTCCACTATAGCTGTTGTATATATTTTCTGCACATACCCATCTTGGAAATAACGATAAGCTTTTAGACTCTTGAATGCTCGCACAGATTTCCTATCGAATGTCCTATCTTTGCTGTCGATTAGGTACGTTTTTAGTTCTTTCATTGAAAAGTCATCAGGCACTTCTGCTAAATTTCTATTCCAACTGCTCCCATGAACGTGTTTTCGAAAAAAATCAGGTGTTAACATGTTACGAAACTTTGAAAATTCAGATGGAAATGAGCACTCCTCGATATGGCGTCCGTCGTGTACACTCCACACTTTCCCCCTGAAACTTCAAATCCCGCAAAATCTCGCGTTCCCACGGATAATTTAGCGGAAGTCACGTGACCGTGGAAAAGACTCTATTGTTGAGCCATAAATCCTGTTGGGCTAGATTCATGCATGAAGCTAACTTCAGCCAATAAAATATTTACTATTTTCTTTTCTGAGACATCATGGCTGCCTCACGGACTTTGAGACCCTTCTCCTCCTTTTCAGCCTCCTCTTTCTTTTTGTTCTGTCTCTGGTTGTCCTCTGCAGCCGCATTCTCTTCAAGAACATCAGTCAGTTCTTGAAGCAGATGCTCTCTTTCCCCAACTTCCTCAGCTGTTCCTGTTCTACAAAAAAATGAAGTAAAATCAATGTGCTTCTAAAGCCTTACTCTATGCAATTGTTAGCGATAAAAGAATTTTACTGGCAAATGAGGTATACATAAAAGTCTTGGATACATGAACCTATTAATTACGACTAATAAATTTGGGGTGTTAAAAAAAATGAGTTGTATGTGATGTTGAAGCGTTTAATGGGACTGGGAAATTAGAAACTTTATAAATCTGGAATTTGTTTTTTAATGGAGTGAGGGGTACTTTGATTGTAACAAAAATAGTGCTATTGATTCTGGATTTTGCGAGCTTGGCATATGAAAAGTAAAAGGTGGGTTGAGTAATTGCAATGTGGTGGGTTGAGTGATTGCAATGTTAAAGTCTGTGTTATCTGTTTTTAAATGTTTTTGGATCATTTCTAGCATTGTTTTGATCATGTCTACCGAAACTATGTCTGGGGATAATTTATTTCTTGTGTGTTCTGTTATGCCCTGGGTGAAAGTGTCTAAATTCCTGGTGATTTCAGTGGCTAAGTGTGTTTGATGCTGGGTTTTCGCTAGAATGTTTATGATCAATTTTGTCTGTTCTTGTATGGCATCAATGTTGTTGTGTAGCTGTGTTAGTTCCATGTGATTTTGTCTGATGGCCAAGATGGTGTTACTGACTCTTGTGTTAACTGCTGGAAAAAATGAACCTAACTTTTGTGTTTGCCTGTAAAATGCAGTTGTTGTAATTGTTTGTCTTTTCTGCAGTGCATTTAAGTGGTCAATAACCTTGTTTGCGTCTTCTGTGGCTGTCCCAAACAATGAATGTGACAAATGTCCAACAAACAGTAGCAGCGATCTTTTCTCTCTGGAGTTACCGTGCTCTTCTGCCAGAGCTTTGACAGAGTTTATGGCCTTGAAGAGTCTGTCCTTGGCTTGTTTGTGCATTTGGAATATCTGACGTTCTGCTGACTTCACAGCGAGATATTGCGGGTACTTCTGTGTTGCAAACAGATCAATTTCCAATTTCTTCCTTGAGGGGTTGTGGTAAGGGGACTTCAAATGTGTGGAGCCAGTAATCTGCTGATGTCCGTGCGATTGCTACTTCCTTGAACTGGACTCCATAATTAACTTGGGTTAATGTGGAGATAGCTGATGCTGGATGGAGTAGCATTATTATAAGAGTGCACATGATGATGAGGCTTCCTGGGAAAAGAATGATTTAGCCATTACCTTTTACATTACATTTGCTTTTTGAGTTCTAATTGATTTGCTATAGCATTTAATCTAGGGTATCTCACCGGCAATGGAAACTCTCTAATGTACAAGTGCACCCACAGAGTTGGCTGGCTTTAGGGTTACTTGCAGGGGCAGAGTGATGCCA